CCCTCTCCCTCCCCCCTTTCCCTGTGTCTCTCCCTCCCCTCTCTCTCTATTCCCCTCACCATCTCTCCTCCCCTCCCCCAAGTTACCTTAGAGAAGGCAAGCCTGTCTCTGTACCATGCTCCCTCGCGGTTCCTGTGCTGGGAATTGTGGGAACCGTGAGGGAGCATGGTACAGAGACAGGCTCCTCCTCCTTCAGCCATCAGTGACACCAGTGACTGGAGTGCCGCCGGACCAGCGAAGCTGCCACCCGGCCCGGCGGCTCCAGTCTGGAATGCGGCCGCCCCCCTCTCAGTGTGCCACCGGACCGGCCACCCGGTGGCACCTATCTGGCAGCGCAGCCCCCAGGTGCCGCGGCCCACCGGGAAATTTCCCGGTATCCCGGTGGGCCAGTCCGGCCCTGTCAGCACCAATGACTATAGTACACATCAGCCCCAATACATACAATAAAAACCAAAGGAGAAAAAAAGTTACTGGTACTTGTGCACAATCCCGAATCCCTATATACATTTAAATGCCAGATATAATAAAAAAAAAAAAAAACATAATATGACATCTGAATGTGTGTTTGTTGATATTGCCTAAGTCATATTAAAGTTCAATTCTAAAAAATGTAGCATGTTACTTTTTCTGCACTATATCATACAGTTGATCGACTATATGTAGACTTTACTATTCTGTGCATCTCAATGGTCACTGGGTTCCATATGACCTTCTAACAATAAATAGTTTTTTAAGTGGATGTATAAGTCCTATTTTAGACAGAATGGAATTTATGTCAATGAGATTTTTGGAAGGACAAAAATGAACTGGGGCATACCTGGAACATGCATTTTGTAGGAATGGTGCTGCCGTAGTGACCAAAACGTATACATAATACAGATTAAGGAATAGTGCATACATAAAAACATTTTTTTTTTAAAGTAGCTATTATATATGACCTGTTTTAGCAAGCAAATATGGGGATTCAGTTCCACCATATGGCCATATTGTGTTAAGCCCACCACTACTTCACAATACCCCAATATCGGTTGATCCTACACTCATTGCAAAGTGGGAGGCAAATTAAATAGTGTTAGTGCTAAATAAGCTAAAATTTAAGTAACGGATCCCCTATACTCTGACTTCGTATATCCACTGTAGTTCTCCCTAATCCCCAGTGAAGCAGTGATTATAGCTCCCTATTCCCCAAACATCAGCCTAGACTTGACGAAGGGTAGAAACGAATGTGTTTAATCAGGGCTCAATGGCCCACTTTTATACAGTACAGAGACACAGCAAAAACACCTAGAACACAGCCTCAAAATGTCCCCAAATTTCAGTGTCACCATGACTGGGCAATAATTACACAAAATTTGAAAATACATAAAAACACATATTAAATACAAAGGACCCCCCACAAATATTATGTCCTCGAATAGCCTGGATCTGAGCGCCCAAGTTGTCCAAAAAGCGCTCAGATCCCACGAACACAGCCGAATTGCCACCACGGTAAAGTTTTGACCGACCGCTCATGAGGCTCCTGCCCAAAGTAGTTTCATAGTTTTAGAGGTAGTGGTCAGTCAATTTCGGAAGTTCCAAAATGCACAAAAAGGCTAACGGTTTCCCTGGCTTGTTTGTTTGATCCATACAAAATGTTCGTGCTGTCGAGTGTCCATCTTAGAGTTCCAGACACTCGACGACCAAGTCCTGCTGCCTGCGTTCGTGTGACAAGATGGTCACCGTTTTCTCCACCACGTGGAGTTCGGTTATACGAATGCCAGCCACACAGAGGGAGCACTTAATTCTGCGGGTTCTCTGTAATTAATGAGCCAGGAGGATGGTTGGTGATCGGTAGTTTATCATACTGAATGCAGGGAAAGCATAAATGAAGTCTAGGAACCCGTCCGTGAGCTGAGGAAGAGAACAGCTCCGGGGTAAGCAAAATAGTCGGTTTTGTCACAGTTTATTTTAATAATCTGTTGTTAGAACATTGTGAATATATATAATGCAAAATGAATGCCATAAACGCAATATTAAAAAAATAAATGAAAGAAGTAGTGTCAAACTTAATTAAAGTGATAGTAATTGATTTTTATACTCACAATGCATGCAATATATCTCCTCTATAAAAAAATTATAATAAAGGTGACATTAATATTACAAATCTCATCAAATATACCTTTCTGTTGTCACCTCCAAAGGGTTTTATGAAGCTGGGGGGCTTGGCTGGAAGCTGAACTCAAAAGGAAAATATGGATTCTGAACTTACATAGTAAAGAAAATAAGGAATCGGGGGACACTCAAAACATGCATTCAGCAGGAATGGTCCTGCCATAGTGACCAACATTTACATATAATACAGATTAAGGAATAGCACACACACAAAAATACATTTTAAAATTGTATAAGTCAACTTAAAATTACCTATCTCAGCAAACAAATATGTGGATTTAGTTCCACCAAATGACCATATTCTGTTAAGCCCACCACTACTTCAATTTAAATAGCCTAATAAAAATTAAAAATGTAGTTTTATGTGTGCGCTGTTACTTAATCTGTATAAGGAGATATTTGGATACAACATGTAGTAATGATAATTAGTTTAACATCTTAATGAGGCACATGGTTCATGTCTTGAAGGGATAATTCGTATGTGCATTTGAATAGTCTACAATTAACCAGACAGCTTCATATGCTAAGCAATAGAATGAAAAGGAGGTGGCCAACAGTCTGTTTAAATGTAAATATCCAGATACTGTTCAGTATTTGGTAGAGACTAGAGAGAAATAAATGAAAAAGTTAAGATGTCCATAGGCTAGTGATCGGTGGAGAAGAAATTAACAGGGGTGGCATAATTTAGATTATAATATTTTTTTTTGTTTGTTTTTTTTAAATCACAATCTAAATTTTCTTACATTGTTTACCTATTTAAAATGTATTATATTTTATCCAACTTGTTTTAGTATTTGGCCTAGAAAATTAATGAGTGCTAATGGTGCATAAGTCTGTGGGCACTGTCCCCTATCTTTGCCAAGAAACCTGGAAAAGGTATGAACTGAATAAAACACAAGGTTCTACCCTGTACCTATTGACTTCCCCCTCTCAAACATCCATATTATCATGTTTGATTCCAACCATGCTAGACATCAATAATAGGCTGAGAGTTCTGGGGTGCCTTATCCGCCGTATCCTGAGAGTTGATGGAGAGTGATAAACATAATGACATATTGAAACAGCCCAAGTCACCATTTGCTTACTCAGTTGCTGTTGCAAGTTCTAATTGGATCATCTGCTATTGATGAGAGAGACAATCGAATCAGCTGATTGCACAAATTACCTATTGTTGCAAGTATAGGGTCTGCTGTTATTGCCCTTATTAATAAGTTTACCCAGTGTTTTTATAATATTATTAGTAGTCATACATTTCTAGCTCCATAATTAGTTGAGATATACTGTATGCATCCTTAGGGCTAATATTGACCTTTATTCAGTTGTGATGAATTTCACTTCATGTTCAGAAACATTTGTTTGATCAATATAGATTGTTACTGGGTCTATTCAATAGACTTGTGTTGAATTTAGCAAACAAATTATTTATTAATTATTTATTTATAAAATATTTTACCAGGAAAGATACATTGAGATTTGTCTCGTTTTTAAGTATGTCCTGGGTCCACAAAACATTGCATTGATACAATAGGGTACAATAAAATACAAAAACAATATCAATACACAATATATACAAAATTTAACATAAAACAGGTAGTGAAAATATAACCAACCATGACACGTGCATTCTGTTTTGAGGTATGTAGAGAGGGATCTCTTAAAGGACTTTAGGCTTGGGGAAGATTTTAAAGTGTGCGGGAGGTCGTTCCACAATTGCGGTTCTGTAGGAGAAGGAGGATTTAAATGAATTATGTCATTTTAACCAATATTACACCGTTTTAAACTCAAATTCTAAACACAAGTAATAAGATAACTTAGTTGCCAGTGAAGATAAAATACATGAATTTCACATATTTAAAGTTCGTGGATTGGTCTGTAACTTGATTATTAGTAACATAGCAATGTTAATGAGCCTTTGAGCTGTTAATTACCACCACAATCTCATCTCCTTGAACCCTAATCTGTGTCTGAATTTTAGATTGTACATTGACCTTCCTGGCAGCCTCACCCTTTGTGAAGCCTGCAGTACATGTCCTTATCTTGGAGACCAAATACAATAAAGACAAATCAGATTTATATAGTTTTCACCCTTGCTCAAGGGAAAGCTGTAATTTAGTTATGCATGATCTCCACATCCATACATATGATCCTTACTGTCTGAGAAATTATGAAATGAGAAAACTTCACATTTTATTGTATGTATTGATGTAGGAGAGGCTTTATAGTTTCATTATTGGAGTTAGTTGCAATATAACACAGTATTGCGATACCTTTTTATTGGGCTCACACGATTTAACAAACACAACCTTTTGGGAATTGCTATTTTTTTGTAATTTCTTATATAGTTATGGTAAAGCTATATATTTTCACCATTTTAACACCCAACCAGAACCATTAAAAATGACGAATGTCGCCAAAGTCATATTAAAGTTCGATTCTAAAAATGATAGGATGTTACTTTCTCTGCACTATATCACACATTTGTTCAACTACATATAGACTTTGCCATCTCGGTGGCCACTGGGCTCCAAATTGAGTTTTTTAAGTGAATGTGTAAGTCAAACTTAACACAAAACAGAGTCATTTTAACCAGAATGAGATTTAAGTCAATGAGATATTTGGTAACAACATGTAGTAATTACTAATTAGTTTAGCATTTTACTGAGGCAGACTGTTCATGTCTTCAAGGGATAATTTGTATCTGCATTTCAATAGTCTGCACTTAACCAGACATCATCATATGCTAATTAATAGGATGAAAATGAAGTGGCTGACAGTCTGTTGAAATGTAATTATCCAGATAATGTATAGTACTTGTGTAGAGAAAATAAAATGAAAAAGTAAAAGAAACTCATAGGTGAATAGTAATTGGTGAAGAGGAGATCAATGGGGGTGGGATCATTTAAATTACATCTTTGTTGGAGAGCGAATGGTTAATGACAATAAGCCAATAACAAGTAAGGCCAGTAAACAAGCCCACCAGGGAGGTGGGGCTAACTCCCACACCTTCCTTTTTTGAAGCACTCCCCTCACTCTCTCAGAAACACTCTCATCAGTGCCTTTGAGAAGATTCCTCTCACACTCAACTCTTGCTAGCATCTTTCTGCTAACATGATTTCTTACAGCTCATCATTCTACAAGCCTTGTCTTGGGTTTCCAGGCAAGGTTTGAATTAGATACACAAACATGCCTTTCTAGAGTTTGATCTTCAGTCCAGAAGCCTTCCACAAAGATTTTATCTACAGCTCTGCTCCCAGTGCAGACCCTACTCCAGCGACCTTGAAGAACTCCAAGAAGAACTCTCTGAAAGCCAAGTTAGCAAACAGAGAGATTCATCCAATAACCATGGGTAACAATGACTTTTATTCCAACCAAGGAAGGAGTAATCCACATTTTCCTCCCTCTGAATATGGAAATTACCAAGGAAATAAGCAAGGTGTTACTGGCATTAACCATCCACCTTACTCTCCGTATGTGCAAGGCAACCATGGAATTAAGCCTAACTATAAAGATTTCAGCCAACAAGATGACGGGCAGTGCCCACCTCAAATGCCGAACATCATGAACCAGCACCCCCATTATGGTCCAATTCCTCAAATACAAAATGTGCTTGGGCATGGCTTTCAGAATACAGCTGTTTACCCAGTGGTTAGCCAAAATCCCACAACAGCCGAAGATGCTTGCAACACAATAAATTGTGGACAGCCGTTGATACAAACAAACCCAGAGCAAATACCTGGCTATGTAAACCAAGCACCTTACTACCCAAACCAAGTTTCTCCCCATCAAGCTACCAGTCCTGTAAGCATGAATCGGCCCACTTCCCCACAGGCCATGCTCTGTGCTGCTCAGATGGGGCAAGTCAAGTACCCCATGCACCACTATGAACATCCTTCACCAGCTAGTGAAGGAAGCTGCACCTCTACTAGCACCATATCCAGCGCTGGGGGCAGCACCCCTACAAGTTCATTTTCCAGGGATTGGAACTGCACCTCTACAAGCACCATATCTAGTCCTGGAAGCTGCACCCCTACCAGCACTATATCTATAGATGAAAGCTGCACCGAAAGAGTAGACTCAGATGTTGAGGTGAGTAATTACTAATCCAAACTCATGCACTGTTTTAATATGCAATTCCTTTAGCATGCTACATGTATGGTCCACTTTGGAATATTTTTTTTTTAAAAAATTGTGATTGTAAAATGAACATTTTAAATATATCATGTAATTAGAAATCTAAATAGTGGAGATGGTTTATTGTTTTATTCTGAAAATGTATGGATTTGTTTAAAGTGAGAAATGGATATTTAGTAAAACAAAGTACACTATTTTTTTTAATGACATTAAGGTAGAAAGTGGGGAATAATCAAACTTTTGGTATGTTGTTTTAATGTCTAATTTTTAATTTCATTTATAGTAAAAAAAAAAAAGGTTGTGGTGGATTGACAACTGAAAATGTAGGCCAGTATTTGGAAAAGGGGAAAAAAATATTTGAAATAATCTTATTTGTAGAATTTTTCCAGCTTTGAACTTTCATCCATTTTTTTCACCCCACTTGTCAATTTAGTTCCACTCAATATTTACTACATAAATATGTCTTTTTACTTTGTTTTGTATGTAACTGTTGCAGGTGTCGAACAATTTCAGGATTTGCTTGTGAAGCCTAAATATCGAGTACAATGGCATATTTTATATTGTCTAGTGACTTTAACCTATTTCCTGACAAAATGAGCTCAAATCTAAATTGAGGTCTACTTTATTTATAAATAAACAGTGGGAAATTGTAGTTAAAATAAACATTCTGTATAAAGTCAAAGGCAATTTTGGCTCCAAGCTGAAGACTGTGTCTATTGACTGACTATTGCAATCGGAGTGTGTATGCATCAATGATGGGTCCCCAATTTCCCATTCTGTAAATGGTGCTTCTGTATGGTTGATATATTATTACACTCAAAACACTAGTAAATAACACATTCATATAACAAACTATGACTATGGCAGGTGTTTTCCTGTAGATCTGGACCTTTTGTAGTTGCTGTGCTCTAAACACTTTTAAAATAATGAAAAATGTTTTCTTTAACCTCAAGTGTAACTCTTGCTCCTTACATTCACAGGATACATCGAGCATGAGCGAGCTGGCGGAATTTGCCCAAAATTTTAAAAGACGGAGGCTTAGGTTGGGGTTTACCCAGGAAAATGTTGGGGTCGGACTAGGAATTTTGTACAGTAAGATCAGATATGAGAAGTTACTAATACATTGTAGTTAAATAATCAAAACAATATTTCATTATTTATATTCAGTCAGTTTGTAAAAAAATACAATGCACATGTAAAAAGCAACTTATATTTTAAATGGAAAATCTGATATTTTAATTACAGCAAATACAATTATCTAAAATATACATTATTGATAAGTTTAATAAAATTTTTTATATATTAATCGATGGATTTTATATTCCAAGTATTTTGTTTGATAAATACAGTCTGAACCTTTGAGAAATCACAGAGAGGGCATTTAACAACACTTTGGTACAATGAAATGCAATGTGGATTTTATCCCTGAATTTGATGACGCGTAGTAACCATTGACTTCAATCATGAACCCAACTCTTGGAAATATGAGATAATGTAAAGTCAAAGATAGAAAACTCATGGAAACATGCATCTGCAATACAATATCATTGTTCCAAAGAATCGCGTTTGCATAAAATGCTAATTGTGGGCTTTTCAGGTTGCAGTTACAATGTCAGAGTGCTACCAACATAAATATGTAAAAAGCATAAGTCAATAATGAACCAAAAAAGTAATCAAACAAGCTCTAGTCATACTAATAATACTATTAATATTTTAATTGATTTAAGGATAAATAATAGAGCATAAGAAAATATTTTTCAAGCCAGAACACCTGGACTTCACATAACTAACAAACCGTACTTTGTTGCAGATAAGTCATTTAGCCAGACAACAGTTTGCAGATTTGAGGCTTGCCAACTGAGCCTTACTAATATGCGGAAACTAAAACCAGTCCTGCAAAGATTTTACGATGACGTTGAGGCAAATCCAGCTAGCCGAGAAGTAAGTAAAACTATTTTAACGATTCATTTATATCAAGTTGATCATTGTTTTTTACAATTCCACAATTATCATCAGTGGAATTAATTGTACAAAACCAACTATAACCTCATATCTGCCAACATTGGGAGGTATGGGATTGGGAAGCAGGCATTTGGGCAATAGAAGCATTGTCAGTGACTTGTGTCACTGGCGATGTCCACAATGAATTAACCTGTCTGCAAAAGGGAGTGGGTTGGCCCATTGAAGCAGCGTGCCAGCCTGGTGTCTAGCATTGCCCGAATTATGGCTGTAAGAGCATTATCGGAAATGTAGTCCACAACATCTGAAGTTTCAAAGGTTGCCTACCCTTGTAGTAGACCATGCAGAGAGAACTGCTGAAGCAAGCTCTGCATAAACCTAGTGGCTGCCACACATCTGAAGCACATCTAATGATGCTCTCTGTGACACAGGGACTGTCTCCTGTTCACAATTGCACTCAAAACACTAGTAAATAAATATCACTTTCGTATAACAAACTATAATTGTGTCAGATAATTTTCAGGAGATCGATAGCTGACGATGTATTCTAAGCACCATTAACAGGAAACAAAATCGGGATGCAAGAACAGGACCCTAAAGAAGGAACAGTTTAGCCAAATTTGGGACATTTTGGGAGGCATGCAACCCTGCTTCCTTTTCAGTCATTGAATTGCATAAGGGTTCTGTGTTCAGTGTTCAGTGTATGGAAATTGAAGGTTCAAACTTTAAATCAATGAAAATTTCAGAGTTGGATAACTCATTGTTCAGTCTACATGATGTAGGCTTTAGTTGTAAGGCTATAACCATAGAGAGCTACAAAGTTCACTGTTATGTCTATGTAGAGCTTCAGAGATCAGTGTTTAGCCTGATGAGAGGTACTGAGTTCAGGGTTTAAGGAATATAACCATGATTTAAAATATATATATATATTTATTATTATTAGCCTATCATTATCACTTGGGACGTGTACAGCATGTCAAGGAGAAGCGTATCTTCATTTTGCATGTGCATATGGCTACAGTGATTTTAATAAATCACTGCTGCTATAGTAGATGTGATATAAGGAGAGAAAAGGACAATGCAGTATTATCAATGTGAGATGAACAGGTAGCTATGGTGCTTGGGGTGCTTTTGTGTTAGTGCCCCTTTAACTTTGTAATTTTTTTTAAACATGTTCATTAAAAAGTGTTGGTTTTTTGTTTTTTTAAACTTGCTAATCTACTGGGTTGGAATTTTTTTTTTTAATTCTGTGATTAACAGGTTATTCTTTGTATTTTTTTTTTTTTTGCATTCCACTAGATAGTTGACCGAGGAGAGAAACCGAAAAACTCGGCAAAAAGAAAACGTCGTACGTGCATTGCCGAACATGTGAAGCTGTCTTTAGAAAAGTTTTATGAAGCGTGCCCTCGTCCAAGTAAAAAAGACATCGAAATTATGTCTACATGCACTAAGGTCGATTGTGACGTAAGTATTGACAACAAGAACATTTGTATCAGACCACAACTGTGACACAAACATTTACAGAGTTATTCACCAAAATGAGAATTCAAAGTGAATTTCAGATTTAAAGGGACACTATAGTCACCAGAACCACTACAGCTTAAAGTGATTCTGATGTCTGTAGCATGTCCCTGCAGCCTTTTCACAGTAAACACTGCCTAGTAATTCCCTCAGATGGACACTAGAGGTGCTTTCTAGTCTAGGGCAGCACTGGTGTTCAATGTCTCCATGCTCTGCGTGGAGAAACTGAATGTTCCCCACAGTGGTGCATTGATTCCCTATGAGGAGATGCTGACTGGCGCAGTGCATCGTTTTGCGTCCATGCTTCAATAGCCTCATAATTGGCTTGGCTAAGATCATCAAGATTGCTGATCTCAGCCATAGTGGCAGAGCCAGTCATGGTGAGACTGGTGCAGCATTCGAGAAAAGACGAGTAAAATCTCGACTGAAACGGGCATGGTCACCTGAATTGCCACATCAGAAGTATAATGTCTGGAATACATGTTTTTATTCCTGACACCAGTGTTCCTTTCAGCCTAAAGTAGCCAAAATTGATGCATAGCTGATTATTATTTCTATAGCTATTTTTCCAGTTTGGCTATTTTGACATTAAATTTGAAATGCTCTTAGAATTCATTTTGGAATTCTCACTTTAGTGAATAAACGTTTGTGAAGCAAAATCTGGTTGTTTTTATGTCCATTTAACAGCTCAGGTGTCTTTTAATGTTTCATAGATATGAGTCTATGCCAAGAATTGAGTGACACAGGAGAGCTAGATAACCCCTTTCTTCAGCTGCATTCAGAGCAATGGATCTTAATTACAGCAAGTGGAGCTGCTGTGATTATTCCTTTAATGTTTGTTTCCTGTGCTTTCTTGAGATAGTTAAGAATGGGGTGACTGTTGATGAGGATGTTCTGACAATGTAGCCACTGTATTGGCATCATAGCAGAGAATTGCCTTGATTGGTGATGCATGTTCCAAGCAAGGCTAATCGTGCTACATGCAGATGGCAAATGTCATGGCACACTGGAGAGGAGTTGAGTACTAACAGCTATTAAAGTGATTACAGATATAATTTAGATTTCTATATTGACTGCTTTATGAGTTAGCTGTTATAGTGACCATCTTGTGGCAGTCGATTTAACAATGAGTTCTAGAGATTTCAGTACCAGTAGGTGCAATTTTGATAAAAGAAGATTCTATAATTAGGGCCAGTTGGACATTTGTAATTAGTTTTTTTCTACTTTGCTATTTTGGCCTAGAATTTGCAATCCATTTTTCAATTTTCACAAATTTCCAGTTTAATAAATAATCCTAATTGTTTTAGCTGCGAGTAGAGTCAAACTAGCCACTACATGCAGTGCCTTGGCTCACAAAATAAATACCTAGCCCAGATCAATAGAGCAATTACTTTGTGGGAGATAGACATGCACATTCAAACAAGATTCCTTGTAATTGTTCACGCTGGTACAAAAGTGAATATTTTAATGTATATATTCCATTATATATTTCCCAAATGTTTTGCTCTACATAAATCAGACTTGGTACTTGTGGTTTATGTCTCTTTAAATGTAAATAATTTGTTAATAATTGGACCTCATCATATAAGGTAAATTAATTTATTGACCACCCATTTCTTTCATTATTTATCAATAGGTAATTAGAAACTGGTTTTGTAACCAGCGCCAGAAGGAAAAAAAAAAACTGAAGAAAATCCTAAAGGAGTCTGGAAACTTTGCTCAACCTATACCAGCTCCTAACGAAGGAAACAGCGCCATGCCGCCAGTGGGAGTGCTACAACCCTGCCTTATTGACATGACTGGATCAAATCATACACCTTTTATGGTTACAAACAACCAATATGGGCAATTCATCCAATATGCCATGCAAATGATGCCCCCTGGAAACTATACTCAGTAAACCATGGTATATCCACAATTAACCCATCGTGATCACTTTTACTTCACATACACACAAACAGACACATGCAAATACACAGACGCACATAAGAAACACAGATACAAATACACACATATATACAGACATAAATACACACAAATAGATGTGCAGATACACAGATAGATACACTGACACCCACATACATATACAGATACATACTGGTACACAGATACACATACAGACACACATATTCACATACAGACACACAGATAAACATGCGAACACACTGAGATACACATACGGACACACAGATAAACATACAGACACACATATATACATGAAGACACACAGCTACACTTGCAAGCTCACAGACACACTTACAGACACACATGCAGACATACAGATACACATATAGACACACAGATAAACATACAGACACACATATTCACATGCAAACACACAGATAAACAGATACACATAAAGACACACATATATCCATATATAAATACAGACACATACAGACACATATTTTCATACAGACACATATATACACATACAGAAACACATATTCAGATACAGGCACACATATTCACATACATACAGACATTGCTACACAGATACACAAACAGACACACATGCAAAAACTTTTTTTTTTTTAGCCTTCCTCCTGTTTTCTACCTTTTAAATGCAGTAGGGCAGCCTCCCTGGGGTCCAGTCAGCTGGCCGATGCTATTGGATGTCAGAGGCTCTTACTCTTACCTCCTCTCCTCCTCCTGCGTAGTGCTCTGTGTTAGCTGGCTGTCACTTCCTCTCAGTGCTGACATTATTAGAAGGGCCAAGTCATGCTATTAAAGGGCCACAGCACTGACCAGGCCCCTTAAGACTTATTACCATCGGGTGGCTCTAGGTGCATGGGACACCCGATGGATCCCATGTCACACTGATACATACACACACCTTGATACATGCATTGACCGACATGTACACACTCAAACACACACCCTAACACACATATACATGCAAACTGACACACACAAACACTGATACATGCACACATAATGATACACAGATACACACTGACAAAAACTCACACACAAATGCACACTGATGCATATATATACATACACAGATGCACATCCTGATACACAGATCTGCACAGACACACAGATACACACACTGACATATACATACATAGATACACACCCTCACTCTACATGCTCCCCTCCCCTCATGTATCCTCTGCGGCTGCCTACTTCCGCATAGCCCTCTCTGCAGTAAACTGGGAGGAAGTGACAGGCTGTCACTTCCTCCCAGAGGCCCTGTCTCGCTTTTAAAGGACCACAGTGCTATTCAGCAATAAAGCAGTGACACCCATCAGGTTGCCCTAAATGAAAGGGCCACCAGATGGGCCCCCTGACTGTGCCGGTAATACTTTTTGATAAACTGCAATAATTACCTTGTTGGGTTAACTCCACCTATAGTGGCTTTCTACAAGACTAGAATTGTTAGGCTACTTTTGGTCGCCTAACTGACAATAGTCATCATCACGTTGTGCATAAGGACATTCAGCGTCACCCAAAACCACATAGGAAACTATTATACAATGCTTTCTTATGGTGGAAGTCTTAATGTGAGTGTGGCGCTTGGCGCGCATGCGAATTAGGTTCCCCCTCCAGCTAATGTCAGAGAAACAGAGAAACCTGAACCAGCACCGAGGGACATTGGTGCTGGAATCACGTAAGTGGCAGAAGGTTTTTTTTTTAACCCCTTCTGCACCAATGAGTGGGGGGGCGATCAGCGATGTTAAATTACATTGTTGCAGGCAGAGGGTAAATGTTTTAGACCCTCTAGTGCCAGGAAAACACTATATGTTTTCCTGGCACTATAGTTTCCCTCTTAAGGTATTCTTTTGTTTGGAACATTTTGTGAATGTATACAAATAATTTTTGAGTCTTCTTTACTGGTATATACTGAGGTACACACCAAACCTATGTTGTGCCCAATGGTTGTACAGTTGATAATGATCTTTCCATTCTGAAAACATTGTGCTTTTTACATTCCTTTAGACTGTAAGCTCATTTGAGCAGGACTACCTTTTGTTATGTTTAGACTAAATTAGTCAGTGTTTCATTTATGCATTGTAGAGTGCTGTTGAATGTGCAGGAACTGTGTAAATGCATTCATTGTAAATATGACATGTTACTATGTATATAAAAAAATTACAAAATAGATAAAAAACCAAATAAAAATAATAAAATAAAAAATCAACACCTACTAAGTTCGTTTGTCTCTTAGTTTGGAACGTTTTGAAGTTTGGAGGTTGTTCCGTATCATTCCAATGTTTATTAAAGCTTAACCCCTTAAGGATGGAGCCAAATGTACACGTTGTGAATGAAACAAAATGTAAACAAAACCTGGCATTTGCGCTACATGTCTGTCCAACCGTAATTCACCTCTTTCATAGTAAATGCACCCACCCTTATTATATATCATTTTATTCAGGGGAAACAGGGCTTTCATTTAATATCAAATATTTAGCTATGAAACATAATTTAATATGAAAAAAAATGGGAGAAAATAAGATTTTTTAAAAATTTTTTTAGTTCTACATGACATTTTAACTGTCAATGTCATAATACGGTTTGCTTTTACTGCAATAAAATACACATATTTGTATTCAGCAAAGTCCCACGTGTAAAACAGTACCCCCTATGTACAGGTTGTATGGCGTTTTGGGAAGTTACAGGGTCAAATATAGCACGTTACATTTGAAATTGAAATTCGCCAGATTGGTTACGTTGCCTTTGGGACTTTATAGTAGCCCAGGAATTAAATTTACACCCATAATGGCATACCATTTGCAATAGTAGACAACCCAAGGTATTGCAAATGGGGTATTTCCAGTCTTTTTTAGTAGCCATTTGGTCACAAACACTGGCCAAAGTTAGCGTTAGTATTTGTGTGAAAAATGCAAAAAATGCAAATTTTCACTTTTACTGGCGATATCATCGTTGTAATACATTTTACTGTTTTGAAACACTAATATTTGTGTTCAGCAAAGTCTCCCGAGTAGAACAGTACCCCCCATGTACAGGTTTTATGGTGTCTT